GGATTGGGATTGGAATCAGGATTGGGATCAGGGATTTGGATCGGAATTAGGGCTGGGATTTGGGTTGGGATTGGAATTGGAATCGGGATTGGGATTGGGACTAAGGCTGGGTTCAGTGCCACGATGAGGATTGGGATTGAAATTGGGATTGGGATTGGGATCAGGCTGGGATTGGGATCAGATTGGGATTGGAATTTGGGATTGGGACCAGGATCAGGATCAGGACTGGGATTGTGGTTGAGGATGGGATTGGGATTGGGATTGGGATCAAGTCTGGGATAAAGGATCGGGATTGGGATTGGGATTGGGATTGGGATCAGGATCAAGCTTGGGATTGGGATCAAGTCTGGGATAAAAGATCAGGATTGGGATTGAGATTGGGATCAGGATCAAGTTTGGGTCTGGGATTGGGATTGGGATTGGGATCAGGATTGGGATTGGGATCAAGTCTGGGATAAAGGATCAGGATTGGGATTGGGATTGGAATCAGGATCAAGGCTGGGATAGCGGATCAGGATTGGGATTGGGATTGGGATTTGGATCAAGTTTGGGATAAAGAATCGGGAATGGGATTGGGATCAGGATTGGGATTGGGATCAAGTCTGGGATAAAGGATCGGGATTGGGATTGGGATCAGGGATTGGGATTGGGATCAAGTCTGGGATAAAGAATCGGGATTGGGATTGGATTCAGATTGGGATTGGGACTTGGGATTGGGATCAGAGTCAGGGCTGGGATTGCGGTTGAGGATGGGATTGGGAATAAGTCTGGGATAAAGGATTGGGATTGGGATTGGGATTGGGATTAAGTTTGGGTCTGGGATTGGGATCAGGACTGAGATTGAGATCAAGTCTGGGATAAAAGATCGGGATTGGGATTGGGATTGGGATCAAGTTTGGGATGAAGGATTGGGATTGGGATCAAGATTGGGATAAAGAATTGGGATTGGGATAAGGAATTGGGATTGGGATTGGGATTGGGATTAAGTCTGGGATAAAGGACCAGGATTGGGACTGGCGTTGGGATCGGGATCAAGTTTGGGATAAAGGATCAGGATTGGGATAAAGGATTGGGATTGGGATTGGGATCAAGTTTGGGATAAAGAATTGAGATTGGGATTGGGATCAGGACTGGGATCGGGATTGGGATCAGGATTGGGATTGGGATCAAGTCTGGGATAAAGGATCAGGACTGGGATTGGAATTGGGATTGGGATCAAGTCTGGGATAAAGGATCAGGATTGGGATTGGGATTGGGATCGGGACCGGGATCCACTCCAGGATCATTCCCGGCTCTCCCGGGATTTTGGCGCCGCCCCCGCCCCATTCCCGAGATTTTCCTCTCCGGGATCATTTCCGGGATGAGCAGGGGCCGAGTTTGGGATCCCTTTGAAACCCCAAAACCCTCGGGATGGGCGGGAATAATTCCCAGAATTCCGGCAGATCCAGGATCTCCTCTCCAACCAGGAGCAGCAGAAACCGGCGGAGAGCGAGCCCGGCGCGGGGGACTCCGGTATTCCAGGGGAAATTCGGGAATTTTGGGAATTTTGGGATTTTAGGAATGGGGGACTAGGGTATTCCATGGGAAATTTGGGAATTTTGGGAATTTTTGGGGTTTTTAGGAATGGGGGACTCAGGTATTCCATGGGAAATTTGGGAATTTTGGGGTTTTTGGAAATGGGGGACTCGGGTATCCCAACAGGGATTTTGGGATATTTGGGGTTTTTTGGGAATGGGGATTCCCAAATTCCCAATCACAGTCCCATTTATCCCAATCCCAAGTTCCCAATCCCAAATTCCCGATCCCAATCCCACATTCCATGTCCCAAATTCCACAATCCCAAACCCTCCTTCTCAATCTCAGTCCCATTTATCCAAATCCCAAATTCCCAATCCCACATTTCCAGTCCCAAATTCCGATTTTCCAGGGAAGCGGCTCGTTCCCTGCACAGTGGATTATCCCAATCCCATAATCCCAAATTCCCAATCCCAAATTCCCAATCCCAAATTTCCAATTTAATTCCCATTTTTCCAGGGAAGCAGCTCGTGCCCTGCACCGTCCAACCCCTGTTCCTGGTGGATTATCCCAATCCCAAATTCCCATTTATCCCAAATCCCCAAATTCCCATTTTCCAGGGAAGCAGCTGGTGCCCTGCACCGTCCAGCCGCTGTTCCTGGTGGATTATCCCAAATTCCCATTTATCCCAAATTCCCATTTATCCCAAATTCCCATTTATCCCAAATTCCCATTTTTCCAGGGAAGCAGCTCATTCCTG